ATTGCCATGCAAAATACCAATGCATTAAATACCAATAATGAATGATCACTTACGTTGTTACTGGAAAATAATGCATACCGAATATATAGGACGGTGGTATCGTGAATCGTTTCTGCAATTATGCATAAAAGGTACGAATTTATCGATTGGGTAACACGATTTATCAGAAATTTCTATTTTCTGTGAAATGAGAAACTAGACGTCAATCTTCATTTTTCGTTTGTTCAATCGATTAATCCTTCTTTGAATTATTTATAAAATTTGTAGTTTCTTGCTGCTCAATTTTATTCAATTTTATTCAATTTTATTGAAAATAGTTACTTTGTTAAGAAAAAACCGAAAAAATTTTCGTATTTCTCTTTCCATTTATTAAGAGTAATAAAATATCCTTGTTTTTTTTCATACACATTTTTGATCTTCTTTTTATAATAATAATTATTTTAAAATGACATTAAATAATCATTTATCAAAACGAGACCAATCATCTTGGTAAGTTTCATTTTCAATTTTTTCGAATTAATATTCATCGATGATTCTCTAAAATTTGATTCAATTTAATTTCAATTCTATTATTTCAATGAATTATCTTTGAACGTGATGGAGATAGGAATGATATGAAAAATGGAGATTTCGCATCAGAAAATTGCTGGGTGGAAGAAAAATCAATTAATCGAAGCCGAATCTTATATTTACTCTGTCGAATCTTCCAATAAATTGACTTACTCTAACCGTTGATAAATTCTCTTTGCTCGGAACTAATATTTGAAAATGGCCCTCCTTCCGGGAGCCTTTCTCGCTGTTAATGAAATATTCGGATCGACACAAAAATTCCACAGCGGGCACCCGTTTCCAGGGTTTCCATTGAAACAAGAAATCTCATTCATTAAGCAGCACGGAAATTTCACATTTTGAAAATTAAAATTTAAATTAACATTTAAATTCTTATAGTAAATTTTTAACATTAAATTGAATTTCTTTCTTCTTTTTCGCCCAAAAAATATTCCCTCCGTTCGCGACAGCAATAATGAAAAAGAGAAACCAGAAATTCAAATCTCTATTAAAAATTAAAATTGAGACCACGATCGGTAGCCATTATAACCCAAAATAATTTTAAGAAAGAATCGAAAATTAGTTAGTTAGGAATTACCTTTGAAAACAATAAAGTATAAATGATTAAATATTTAAAACGTGTATCAATACTACGTTTATACTTTGAAATCTGAAATTTCAATTGTCTACATGGAAAAACTCATCGATGAATTCGTAAAGTCAGGATAGTGTTCTTCTCGATACACATATAAATATACAAATATACAATATAATTTTAGATACTAATTTTAACAATACTGCAACGGATTTTATTTTACTCACAATTAATCATTTTACTTGGCATAGTTCTCCGATTCACAGTTCCTTAAGCGTAGATTGCACTAAAAGAAAATCAGAGATTTTTTTTTTCTTGATCGGTATTACAGACTTTGAGACACGAAGTATCGTTTCACATCCGATCTATACTTTCAATGAGTTAATGATCTCATTTATCGTTTTGTCTTTCACAAGAGTTGATAAGAAACTGCGAGTAAGCGAAAATGGAAAGGACTTTCTTCTCAAGCGAGATTAATAAACAGAAAAATCCAGTCCATCGATTTGCGACACACTGGCTTATCATTCTGGAAAACCCATAGTTCTCTCTCTCTCTCTCTCTCTCTCTCTCTGTCTCTCTCTACGGTGAATAACAGTGAATCCCATATGTCTGAAGAAAAATGATGTACAGTATGTTCTTATGAATAAACCTAGGGAACGAGGATACGTTTGTCAGGTGTGAAATATTTCCTTTTGTACCGGGAAATATTCTCTAATTACACTGCGCATGATGAAATTGCACGTGATGCAATGGAAGAGCGAATTATTAAAACCCTTATTAAAATAGAAAGAAATGAAAATTTTTTTAAAATTATTTATTAAATGTTAGAACAGAATTGTATTCAAACAGAATTGTATGTAAAAATCGTTTTAAAAATGATAGTGGAGCTAATGTTTGACAAATTTATACAAATAATATTGAAATAGGAATATTAGAAAATTGTAATATCGAATATTATAGCAGCTGAAAATTTATAATAATTCAGAATGAAGTAATTTGAAGTATCTTTGCACTTGGACATAAAAGAAATGGTACTTACTGAAACAGCAGTATCACACTCTAGAAGTATGCTATAAGCAATTTTAATTTCTAACTTTACAATTTGCGTATGTTATGTAAGTTATATAAGATCAGAATTATTAGCATTCAAGTCCGAAGCATGAAGGAAAAACCAGAACATTCTAATTTCTGCGTAGATGATCGAAGTACATACAGAGCAATTAGCAATTAACTACTATTTAGTCGAAACATGTTGCAACAGAGATAACCTCTTTCCATCTGAGATTTTCCAAACGTTCATTTCAGGGGCATACCCGTTCGCTGATGAAAAAACAATCTCTAATACAACTCACACTCACACTCACACATACATTGCTACACACGAAGTTCAATAAACATCGTATATAAGTCGCATGATCTGTCATTCCTTCATCAGACGCTTCTCAATATCAGTTTATTCTCTATCGTCTTTGACATAATCGATCGTTGAGTTTCAACAAAAATTTCAAAATGGTGAAAATTTATTTTCTGGTCGCTCTTCTCTTCGTGGCTGTAGCTGCCATCATGGCTATACCATTAGGTAAGTGAAACAAAGTCCGTTTAATTATTTCAATTGTTAAATTAGTGGAGTTCGCATATATAAAAATTTTACATTTCTAAAACTTGAGAAGTTTTGTGAAAAGAAGAAGAAATTTATACATTTATAACATTATCATAAGTCGCTGCTTGATCTTTGATGCATACTTACGCGATATTTGCTATTTGATCCTAGATTTTATAAATTTAATTTTATAAATCCTAGATTTTATAAATTTAATTTTATAAATTTAAAATTCCTTGACTCTACTTATAATTAGTATATAATAGTAGTAGAAGTCGTTACAAAACTAATATCTTTCAATTTTCTATTTTTTAATATTTTTCATTCTTCCGATTTTTGGATGAGCTACGATTCAATTAATAATAACTAGACTGTTTGGATAGTTTCATCTGCTAACTATACTTGGAATAATTATATATTTTACGTTCTGACTACTTTTTATCTCGATATATTTCAGAAATTCTTGAAGATCTTCAGACTAATAATTGCAAAGGCTCTTGAGAAATTTCGTTCTCTTTATATTTGATTAAAAAACCGTACTCGTAATTTAGCCAATGAGAGGATGAGAAATTTTAATTTTTGAGTTCATCATTAAATCACGCGCTTTATCAGAAATTCACACTTATTTTGATATACGAGTAAATTTGATAAACGAAGTCACAACGTTATATATAGAAAAATAAATTTTCGTCCCCTGCGAAATGACATTTCTCTCTTTTCTCCTGCAGATTATTCAAATATTTACTACAATAGAAATAATCGCTCTTTCTTCGACGATTTCTCAGTGATTACTATATATAACGACGAATGTATTCGAGAAATAACGGGCGAACAAAAACGGATCTTCTTAGCTGTTAAATGCTACACCATTTTCATCTTCCTTAATATCGAAGCGTGATCGTTGATCTACGATTCCTTCTCGAATTATCGCGTTTTATCTACA